GTGCCAGTGCCCCACAGTTCACACACTGGAAGGGTGGCTGTGGGCCAAGGAGGGTCCTGGCCTCCAGGTGCTTCCCTTATAAGGCCCAGCAAGTGGGTAACGGAGGGAGCTCAGCCCCGAGGAGGGATGAGGAGAATTTGAGTTACTCTAGACACCTGCCTGCACCATTATATTTACCAGAATAAATCACTCTTAAAGAAATAAGAGGGCCTTGATGAGAACCGGGGATCCAGAGCCAGAGTGAGGGGCAAAGGCAGGAGGTGCCTGGCTGGGTGCCTGGCCAGGTCCCACAAAGCCAGAGGGCCTGGGGGACTCCAGAGGGGTGAGTCCAGGGGTCCCCTCCCTCCTGACACCTGGGCCTGCAGGTCTGCCTGTGGTCTAGGCTGCTTCCTGCAGGAAGTGGTGGACTGCCCTGGCACCCCTGCCCACTCTGCCCAGTGCCCTCTTCCTTAGCCTACCAGTGGGGCCTCCTGCCACCCTCAGGATCCCAGATTCCCAGAGCTCTGCCCCAGTCTTTCTCGGCCTGGAGACCGCCAGCCTGTGATCTCCCCAACCTCAGCTGTCCTCCCCTTGACCACTACTGGCAAGTGGCCTGGTCCCTGCCAATGAAGTCTCCATGCACCTCAAGGGCCACCAGACACCTCACAAGGGCTGGCTAGTGACAGCCCCTGGCCCTGAGATGATGCCCTTCCGCTCAGGAGCAGTGGGCGCTGCTTCTCTCTCCTTAGTAGCCCCAACCCAGCGTTCTCAGGCTCCCCTCTCTAACTTCCTGCCCTCCCAAAACCTCGGAAGCCTGCGGCCCCTGCCAGGTCCACTTATTCTACAGCACTTATTTAGCCCCAGGACAGGAGGCTATCTGCAGATCCCCGATGGAGGGATGGGCAGCCAGGCTGGTTGGCAATGGGCTGTACAAGCGTTTGGGCCGGCTGAGCCACAAACAGTCCGCAGGTTGGAGACTCAGGCGAGGCCTCAGCCACCCTTCCTGCCCCAGGCCACCCACCCCTGATTCAGTGCTCTGGCGCCTGGGTGCTGGGCACCCAGCCATGGAGGGCACTCTGCCCCAGCCCTTGTTGCAGCGCGGCATCTGCCACTGGAGGGCGCTGGAGAGGTTGCCCTTCTCCCAGCATTTTGCTGGGGGTTTGGGTCTCCTCCCCGCTGCTTTGTTCTGAGGGCAATCTCCAATGTGTCTCGGCGCCCCCGCCCCCAGAGGCCCTGTAACTCCACCTGCGCCCTGCCGAGCTCTGGGCTCCGCCTCTGCGGACCCTCCAGCTGTGGCTCCGTAAACCCGGTCTTCCCCTTCATCCCGAGCCAGCTGGATGGCAACCACAGAGATGATTCTGGGTAGTCTCGGTGGTCCCCTTTCGTTCCTTTGGACCACTGGCACCCGGAAGCACCCTGCTAGCCGAGTCGTGCACAGGCGGCTGTGAACGCGCTCTCATTTGCGCACAGGACAAAACCAGGACGCTATACAGAGGGCTGCCTCGGAAACTCCAGTCTAGAGTGGGTCAGGCCAGGGCAGGGGCAGCCCAGGAGCGGCCTAGAGCTGCACTGGGTCACTGTTTCCTGCATGAGTTCCCCGAGGACTCCTCGGGCTCCCTGTGCGGCCACAGATAGCTTCCAAGCTCCTCTCGGGTGCATGTCCCTGTGACCCGCCTGCCTCCCCCGGCCCTAAGGTTCCTGCCTTGAGCCGTGGGTCACCTGTCCTCCCAGCGGGCACTCGGGGTGTTCTATTCACCAACGGTTTATTATCGGCCCACACTGCCAGGGGAGAGCATCAGAGGCTGGAGTTCGCAGCTGTCCACTTCGCTTACTCAGGGTGACCTGGCATAGCAGGTACCCAACACACACAGGTTGAAAGGGTGAAATAAGTTCTGAAAGAGTTCTGCCAAATGGCGCGTGATCCATCTTCCAGCTGCAAACTGTTTGCGACGAAAGCGCCCGCAGTCGTAGGACGTTTTCTGCTAAACCAGGAGGTGGCATTGGCGAACCTCTCCACAGCTGCGCGGAGGGAGCCCAGCGGCGCTCGCTTCTGGGGAGGGCGGCTTCTGGGATCTTTCTCCAAGAGGCGCGCTTCCTTGGGTCCTACCAAGGGGGTGGTGCCTGGGGACGCAGCAGAAGCGGTTGTGAGTGGGAGCTCTGGGCAGCGACCAGAGACCGCGCACGGAAAGAAGTTTAGCACCCCCGCAGCAGCCCGCGTTAAGTCTTCCAGCTGGGAGGGGAAGTGTCCAGGGTGTCCAAGGAAGAACAGGGCACCCGTAGAACGCACACCGCACTTCGGGCGCCGAGACCATCTTCCTCATCCTGCACCCACAGCCCCCTCATTCCGCACGCTGGGAGCCCCTGGAGAGCCGCACACTCTGTTACCCAGTGAGTCTGCCATCCCACTCGCGACCCCGCGAGTTCAGGCCACAACCGAGGGAGGACTGGGTTTACACAGACCCAGGCTTGCTGGTGCGCAGGGCAGCGACCGGAAAACTGTTTTCTCAGTCTTCAGCAGCGCTAAGGGGTCTGCCGGCGGCTGAGAGAAACCAGCGTGCAGCCTGGAGCGGCGGTATTCCTTCTGCCTAGCGCCAGGCTCCCCGGATCCTACGGGAACTTAAAGCGCACCTGCGCTCCCGTCTGGGCGCGCCTCTCCCTGTTCATATTCTGGAGACCCGCGCTCCTGCGAGAAAGCTTTGCGGCCGCTGCTGCCTGAAGTCCGGTAGCGCTGGGTGGAGCGGAGCGGGGGTCCCGCGTTGGAGTTCGGCCCCTCCTACTCATCCCCGCCCCGCCCTCTCCGGCCCTGCCCCCAACCCCACAGCTTCCCGTGTCCCTGCCGAGGCCTTGGCCTCCCGCCTTAATACCTCTCGGGAGCCCAGGAGGATCCAAACCCTACTCGGGAGGGTTCCCCTTGTGCTCGGACACTCGTAGCACGCGCGTTGTGTATTTCCTCCGAAGATGTGGGGGCGAGCGAGGCCCGGAGAGCGTTTGGGGCCAGGCGGACTGGGTGCCATTGACAGCGCAAGGATCCCAAGTGCCTGTGTCCAGGGCCCTAGGCTTGCCTCAACTGGGCTCCATCGCCGGCGGGGCTGCGGCGCACAATTGGATACTACGAGGGCTGACCCCGCCTAGAAAATCAGAAGAGCAAAACCCTTATGCGCGGCGCCTCACCGCACAGGGGTGGGACACCAGACGTGCAGCGCCGCATCGCGCAGTCTTCGCAGCACTGTGAGCGCAAGCTCGGTCAGGAGCGATTCAGAATCCCGATCCACACAACGCCCCGGCCAAGAGTGGCTTTTGAAACCTCGACCTGATGGGTCCCTAACCCGCGGCACATAAAACGAAAATGAACCCCGGGAAGGAGAAGAGGGAGTGGACATTAGGCCGCTGCACAGAACCGCGGGGGTCTCCTCCTTCCAGAACACCAAAACCCCGGCGGCTGAGGCAAAATGGAAAAGTCGTTGGTAACGAACTGGCCCAGGCCCCAGAGAGCGGACCTCGAACACACAGCTTCCACCCAGAAACCCAGACCCGAAATGGCGGTCTTCCTGCACACATTTGGGTCACGGCTCCCACCCAACCCGTAGCAGATAATTATAACATCCTTCACCTGTTACTGTTAATACACAGCATTTCCCAAGAGGAAGAAAGTGACAGCGCTCAGCAGCTGTTCAGAGCCTGCACAGGGTGGGCTCCCGGTCGACTTTGGTCTCATTTTACCTTGCAGCAATTCTCTGGGGTGAGAGTTCTCTGGATCCAAGGGCCACATGAGCAACACATAAAGACCGTGCTTTGCCTGCTGCTCTTCAAGAGCGCACCCACGTTCAGAATTGAAAGTAACACCCTACGCACCCTGGGCCTCAGAGCTCTGAGACAGTTGGGGTCCCAGTTCCCCCGCGGGGGCTGCGATTTATCAGAGAACGGCTCCATAGGCCACTGGTGGTCCTGGGTCGCAGCCCCTGCCTAGAGTTACCTCCCGGGTAACCTCTAATAGGAGACCCTGACCTCCCCAACGGGAAATCTCTGGGGGCCGCCACATCACCACCCAGCTGCAGGTAACCCAGAACCTCCACCCAGTATGTACTAACAGAAAGCCCGGAGTGTGACCCCTGTCCCTTCGCCCTCCCTGATACAGAACGGGCCGTTCGTTGGCCAGACCAGCAGCCCATTCGCCCGAGTCTAGTCTGGCCATTCGACCCGTGTACTCCGAGCCTCAGCTGCTTCCTCCCTTCCTCGGCCAGGGCCCACCAGGACAGCGTGCGCTGTAAGCCTTCAGCAGAGGCCGACGAGCGGCTCGGACCATAGTCCCTGCCTGCGCCCGCTGACCCTCGTCGTCTGGCCGCCGGGGGCTCTTCCCCGAAAAGAACGCACTGAACGAGAGACCTCGATCTTCAAATCTGCGTTCTTTCCGGGGATAAAATATGTTCTCGTATTTTTTTCCTGATTTCCCATTAAAACCTTTGCCTAACTAAACTCCCATCCAACGGGATTTATTTCGTCCCGGGGGAGATAAATCAGGGGACAAATTTACAGCCCAGGAAGCACCTGCCGCACTAATGGGCCCTTCATGGAGTGCGCGGCCGGCGGGGGCGCGCGCAGACGGCGGGGCGCTGGCCAA